ATGTAAGCCGTGGGTATCTTATACTTTCCATCCTTTATGCACTACCAACCAATAGTTGTTGGGACTGTGGTTTCAAAGACTTTATAAGCCGTGGGTAACTCAAAGCCTTTGTCTTAAGACTTTACAAGCCGTGGGCCGTGGGTCTCTTTGTCTAATGACTCTATAAGCCGTGGGTAACTAAGTCTTTGTCTTAAGAGTGTGTTGAGTAACTCAAGGCTTTGTCTTAAGAGTGTGAGTAACTCAAGGCTTTGTCTTAAGGCTTTATAAGCCGTGGGCAACTCACAATCTTTGTTCAAAGACTCTATAAGCCATGGGTATGCCATACTTCCCATATTTTGCTTAGACATGCACACTATCAACCAATGGTTGTTGGGGTCATAGTCTTTAGACTCTATAATTTGTCTAAAGACTTATTATAAGCCGTTGGTAATATTGTTGACTAAAGACTCTTTTATAGGCTGTTTTCAACTCGAGAGTTTGAAAGCCTTTTCATAAGCCGTGGGTAGATTTTGTCTTGAGACTACTCATAAGCAGTTTTCAACTCAGTCTTTTGTCTAAAGACTTATCATAAGCCGTGTGTAATAAAGCAACTCAAAGTTTCTGTTTTAAAACTTTTCATAAGCCAGGGGTAGACATTGTCTAAAGTCTCTTTATAAGCCGTGTGTAAAAAAAGCAGCTCAAAGTCTCTGTCTAAAAACTTTCCATAAGCCGTTTTCAACTCTTTGTCTTTTTAAAGACTTTACAACCGCGGGTAACTCACAGTATTTGTCTAGAAACTGTATGGTGTACCGTTTGTCTTTGTCTAAAGATTTTATAAGCCGTGGGTAACTCAAAGTCTTTGTCTTAAGACATTATAAGCCGTGGGTAACTCAAAGTCTTTGTCTTAAGACTTTATAAGCCGTGGGTAACTCAAAGTCTTTGTCTTAAGACATTATAAGCCGTGGGTAACTCAAAGTCTTTGTCCTAAGACTTTATAAGCCGTGGGTAACTCAAAGTCTTTGTCTTAAGACTTTTTTAGCCGTGGGTAACTCAAAGTCTTTGTCTTAAGACATTATAAGCCGTGGGTAACTCAAAGTCTTTGTCCTAAGACTTTATAAGCCGTGGGTAACTCAAAGTCTTTGTCTTAAGACTTTTTTAGCCGTGGGTCTTTGTCTTAAGCCGTGGGTCTTTGTCTTAAGACATTATAAGCCGTGGGTCTTTGTCTTAAGACTTTATAATGTCTTTGTCACTTTATAAGCCATGGGTGTTTTGTCTTAAGACTTTATAAGCCGTGGGCAAATCATACTTTCCATCTTAGACATGCACTACCAACCAATGGTGTTAGGCCAAAGATTTAGAATCTTCAATGGCTCTAGGCTTCAGGCAACGGGACAATGTCCCCAAAATAAGATTCTGACAGAACACTATTAGATTAGTGCCTGCCTTTAATCCTTTTGGGGGTTTTGTTAAAAACACAAAACAAAAGGTTTTCTGCTTCGGTAAAACCAATACAAAAAAGCTCATCTCTTGTGTTTGATAAAACCTTTGAAAAATCTTATTAAAAAGCGAGTAAAGAAAACAAAACAAGTAAAAGAGGAAGTAAAAGAGCTTATCTGTTTCGTTGCTTCATCTGTTCGGCTCATAAATATCTTCAGTTGTTATGGTTTCTCCACACAAGCAAACACACTGTAGAAAAGAGACAAAACACATAGAGAGAAGGCTACATCATTATTAACATCTAAAAAGAACAAACTTAGAACTCAAAACAAACCAAACAGCTAAGAGACTTTATTCACATCAACCTTTTTAATAAAGTAATCGTTCAATCTGTTCTCTTTATATGTTCGATCCATAATAAACATCAAACACCCCAAATCTAAAGCACGATTACAAAAGATCAAAACCGTAGAAAAAGAGAGAGAAGTACCCCGATTTCAGACGGAGTCAAGTGCTTCCGGGTAGATTCAACATCCCTACAACAGAAAAAAACAAACAAACAAACAACAAACGATTTAAAGAAACATGAAACCCTAACTCACGAAATCGCAAAATCAAGAAAAGATCGCATGAAACCCAACTCGATCTCATCAGTAGATAAGAACGATCAAAAGCGATTCAAGATTACAACAAACAAACAAACAACGAAGGATATAAGAAAAATCGAAACCCTAATTCACAAAAATCTCAGAACAAGATATCACGAAACCCAACCGATCGAATCAGGTTTCAGACGAACCCTATACGAACGAACAAAAGAGATTCACGATCTAGAGATTAGAGAAACTGAAGAAAAAAAACATTCTAATCTAAGAATCTCACCTCTCTGTAATCGTAAGAAGAGAGGAGAGAGCGACGAGACGAGGCGAGTATTTGTTAGCAATCGGCTTCTAACGGAGAGGTGATCCGTTAGATAACTCCAATCGAACGGTCCTGCAATGTTTCACGACTCTCAACCGTAAGATTTAACTCCACTCTCAAACGGTCAGATATATTAGATGGGTTTCACTATGGGCCTAACGGATTTGGAAACTAAGGCCCATAAAAGCTCATTAATTCAAATTTCAAAATCTACGCTCTCTCTAAGAATCCCAAAACGGTTTCATCTTTTCCTTCTTTGAGTAAAAAAAGAAAATCTAACGAAGAGTTATCTAACGCACGGATCAACAAAAGATCTCAAAACCGGTTTGAGTTTGGAGTTATACTCTTCCTTCTTCAATGGCGAATTCAAACACATACCCAATCTTTTTGAAGAAACAACCAGTCTCAATCGTAGAAGCTAAGACCAAAGCCGCGTCAAAACCTTTCTCTCCCGTATGCTAAGAAGCTCTCTGTGAACACTGATGCTCTTGATGGCACTCTACGAGAACGTGAATGTGACCGAAAGCATTATTATATTTGTATACACTGTTCTGAAAGTAGTATCAATCAGAATCTTACCTAAGTAAGCTACATTTTGTTTACAGATGAAGCCAAAGGGTGTAACAGTGAATGTATTATTGGCCAAAGCTGCAGCGATGGCTCTTGCTCAGCACCCTGTGGTGAACGTAAGTTACAATAGTGACGTTGCTGTTGCTATCAAAGGTTGGTTGATTACGCGCATGTTCTACAAGATGTGCATAAGTTAGATTTATACTTGTTGTCCCAAAAATAGAAAGAAATGCTTCTGTTCATACACGCATGAGAAGTGTGTTAAGGATTGTGCTCAGGTGAGCGGATGAATGCGTGCACTTAATCGAATCTTGGTATGTTTGAAGTGGATAGCTTTGATGCTTTTCTTCCTCCATGACGGGTATATGTGATTTAGATAAGTCTCATCAAATTCTCTTGGGCGCTACAATGGTTGATGGAGTGTCAAGACCAACTGTAGTTGCTGATAAGGATGAGTCTTCAGTGTGAAAAACACAAAGCTCTTAACTTAACAATCTGCCTCTCATGGGTATGGTGAATTCCTTAAGAGTAAGAAGAAGTTTGCGTCTTTTGGCGTTGTGTGTTGGCACGTGAATATGACTGCAGATCATTGTGTTATGTTAGTGCTAATATTGTATCACCCATTACCTATTTCACATTTACATATTTAAAAAAAATTATATTGCTGAAATTTTATATTTAACTAATGAATATTGATTTCATATCCGCTAAGAAAATTTGAATATTGTCACACAGGCACAAAAAGAACTGATCTCGACCTCATATGCTAGTATATGAGATTAAATTCACGATAATACTTTAATCAATACTATTAAAAGAGAAGGAGTCCTAAAAAATCTACTTATACAAGTTGTTTGGACTCTTTCATTAGATTAACATTTTTTGGTCTTCCCTTATATTTCTCTAACAATATAAATACTATTTCTCTAACAATATAAATACTATTTCTCTAACTATATAAATACTTTATAATTTAAGTGAACTCATTTATTACTTTCCATAATCTACTACATAATTACTCTAACAATAAATCTTTATATACTTTAATATTTTTAATATTTTTACATAAATTGGAATTTAAAAAGCTTTGGTGTCAAATATTCAACTACGAAACATTGATTTAGTTAATTACAAGCAATCAATTATTAAAATTTTATATTACATTTTTATACATGAACTAAATGATTAATTGTATATATAAAAATAAAATGGGTTGGAGATTTTAATAGTATAGATGTTTATTTATTTTANTATATTACATTTTTATACATGAACTAAATGATTAATTGTATATATAAAAATAAAATGGGTTGGAGATTTTAATAGTATAGATGTTTATTTATTTTACAAATTCTAACTATGCATATGATACGTTTTTATTTAATTTTAAATGTATACTATCCTACAATTTAAATATCAGATAGTTTGAATATCTTCAATATTTTGAATATAAAATATTCGGGTAATTTATTTTTGCCTAATTTGGTTTAAATAATATTTCAGGATATTTAGTATTTAAATATTATATATAATTAATATTTTAGGTATATAATTTATATTTTAAAATTTTTAAATACCCATTTGGTTCTCGGTTCGGTTTCTATTTTTCGGTTCCAGAAAATATATGATATGATCGATTATTTATGAAATTTGGTTTAATTTTTGTTTTTTTTTCAGTTTGATACGGTTCGATTCACCTGGAAAAATGTATAACATATACATTATCTTATATAAAAATTCATTTAGAAGAATTTGTTTTATTTCAAAAATAAACCCGCGCTTTTTAAGCGCGGGTCAAAATCTAGTTTTAACATTAAGGGAGAAGAAAATTCAAGATCAACAGAACATATCCTGGAAAAAAGTGAGGAAAACATATTCTTATAAACTAATCTAAACCATTTACTAGATTAACCATTTGATTTTTTTTTTTTTTTTTTTGGCAAGATACCATTTGATTTCTCTAATCCTAAAAATCTTACAAAACCATAAAAATATCCTAAATATCATTAAACAATAACCCAACAAAGCGAGGCCACACGCTCTCCACAAAACGCTACCGTTTCGCTTTTACAAAAAACACTCCGGAATATTGTTTACTCCGCCGGTAAACTTTCCGGCCGCCATGAAAACAAGTCACCGGAATCTAAATAAACATCAGAATATTCGAATAGTCCATCATCAAGCTCGAAATCTCCAAACCCCGTAACATTCTCCTCAAATCCACATACCAATTCCGCCACCGTCTTCTCCGTCTCCTCCGACGACGGAGGAAGAATCTTAGACGGCGCCGGTGGCGGCGGAGGCAAACCTAGCTCGTCGTCGGAAGCTTCGAAAAGGTATCCGAGATCCGGCAGAGTCTCGCCGGAGCCTTGCGCCGTCGTGGTGGAGAGCTCATCCTCGAAGCTTTTCATCAACGAGTCGAGATCTTGACTCGCTGAGTCATGACTCGAGTCGTCGAATAAATCGTCTCTCAACCGCTTCACGTCGGGCGAGTCGAGAACTAGCTCGTCCAACTCGTGTATGACTCGCTTCTTAACAACCGAGTCGCTCCGAGTTAGTGTCTCGGTGTTTAATAAATTGCTCATAGCTTTAACCGGTTTCGGTTTTATTTATCGGTTTAGTTGGTACGTTCAGTGGCAATATCGAAATTAGCGGGAGATGTCTGTGTAGAATCGGAAGAAGGGAAACATGAGATTTTATAGTGGGAGACGAGAGATGATAAAGTCGGTGACAAGAGAAGCGCGTGAGTTCACACGGATACGTAGGCGCGTGAAAGAGCGAATCGATTGGGGCATCACGGATCACTCGCTTTTTTTATTTTATTTTTATTTTTGCATATTTTTGTCACTTTTCTTGTTTTATCTTATCTTTTTCTTTCCTGGTAATTTTGGTTTCAAACTTTCTGACGTCGCTATCGAACTTATATGAACTGGTTTGAATTCGAGATTGAAGTCCGAAACGCATACTCGGTCAATTAAGGCTATGGGGCAATTAATATTTTTTTTCTTCAGTACTTTGTTTGTATATATATATATTATAAAGACATATTTTATTCAGTATTGATCTCGGTAGCCGACAGGTTCCAAAAATTCAGATGTTTGGAGAAATCAAATCAAAATTTAAATGGTGGATCTGGATTAATAGTAGATCTTGAACTCATAGAAATTAGATTTGGATCTAAACTCCATGATTTAAAAGTTTATACTGATTAATAACTTTAAATGTGTAAAATTATTTTAAATAAAATTTAGATTGGTTAGACTGAATCTGTATAAATTTTATTGAACTTTTTTTATCTGTATAATTTTTTTATATAGATATATTTAGTGTAACTGTATAAATTAAATGAAAAAATGATAAAAAAAGATATTCATACACTAATATTTCTGTTTTTGAAAATAAGGTGTATCCAGCTATTTGTTTTTTTTTATATTAATTTTAAATACTACTTAAATCATAATTTTTAATTTATATGATTATAAATAGGCAGTAAAAATAAAACCATTACTTTTTTGTGAAGTAAAAATAAAGCCATTACTTCAAGCTCAATCAATCACTTCCAATTTATTTTTATTAAACTAAATATAGAATATAATATTATTTGCCCTAAAATTTATTATTGTTATTTAAGATACAATTTTGTTTCAGTTAATCTGTTTTTAGATGTTATTTTTTTTCATATTGATAGATAGAATTTAAATATTTAAGATAATATTAGATAGATATATTGAAAGATTAGATGACCTTTTTTGTTGTTTCTTTTCATGTTTTTTGTTGTTTCTTTCTATGCGCTGTATATTAGTTCTGATTTATTTTCATATCATCATTTCAAAATATTGAAATGAGTGACCAGATTATTAGCTAAAGAGGCTATAAGGGAAGTGGTATTTTTTCTTTATACAAATCATACAGAACCAGACAGAGTCTTCCGGATTAAACAATGTAGGTAAATTTTTGATAGAGATTTTAAAACTTTTGTAGGTTTAAATATTAATCTTACGAAATTTTGTATTCAAATACGTGTTATTCAAACTAAGGCATTGTAAGGTGACAAAAAAAAATCAAATCTAAGTAGCGGTCAGTTTTGATAAATAAATTGTCCATAAACACATAGATATCTAAAGTGGAAATTTCAAAAGAAAAAATTCAAAATCTAAATAACTAAAATTTAGATTTAAATTCTTTAAAAAAATTTTAGATCCATCCTTTGTGTTAAATCATATATAACTATAAATACATATTAAATTATCTTTAAAGTAATATATGACGATATGTATAAAACCTACAAATATTACAAATTATAGTTATAGGGTTTTATTGAACGACAATTATAGTATTTTTAACAAAAAAAATTAGCAATAAAATCAAATTCAAATTTACACACATAAAGCACATCTGAATTCCAAAACCTGAAGGATAGCTAATCGGAACCAACATAACTCGTCGGTCCAAAACACTATATTTGATGTTTGATATAATTTTAATTCCAATTTTAGTTTCGTAATTTCATGTTGATTATAAATATTTGATATGTAGTTTGCATTTCTATCTCGTGCAGAACTGGGAAAACTAATTATTATTAATAATTTATATTAAAATCATCTCGGAAAACCGAGCATTCAAGTTCGGATTACAAGTTTGATCAGATCAAAACTTCCCAAATCAATGTATGACAACCTAGTTTTGTCCACCCACTAAATCCGTCACATTCCGCTAAGTTGATGATAAAATCTTTAGGAATCGAATGATGTTCTCAACCATCGATGTTCACCTTGTTGCCTTGAATGCCGGATATTCCCGTGACGTCTCCGGAATAGCTAGCTCTCTATGAACTTCTTGAAACTTATGTCTGTCATTATCATTTTCGTGCAAGCAATGTAGAAGAGGGTTTATGAGAACAAACCGAGATGCAAATCGCTCATGAACCACATGTACAGTCTTCAACACACCTAAAACTGCTCGGGGACCCAAGATCGATGAAGACCATTAATCCACAAACAAAAGCAAGAAAGGGGGCACATAACAACATTAGCCAAACAAACTAAAAAATGCTCCAAAGACCTGCAAAAGCATTAGTTAAACAACACTACTGCAAGCCCAAAACACTGCGATACTGGATGTGTCGTTGAACCAATTGCGCCACCAAGGAAGAGGATGCTCCTCTGACCACAAGAAACCTTCTGACGCCTTGAAAATCGCACATTCTGAGAACCGGAGACATGTGAACTTTAGCTTTCCAAAATAGAATCAATGGTATGATCCAAATCATTAACGAACTAGAGAAAAAACCCAAGATAACCACGTCCACTGGATGGAAAATGAACAGACGAGAAGAGGGAGAGTGATTGAGAGTCTCTGCTCCGCGACAAACAATCCATAGGAGACATCTCCGCCATTGCACCACTGCGACACTTCCCCCACCAAACACCACAACACTAACACACGCTGGAGTCGAGGCTAAGTACGACAAAGCACACAATTCCATGACACCAAGGAGAAGATGAAGCCCTGAACCCTACACCGCTCACCCTTCATTCGAACCATAGACCAAAGACTGCAGTTCAGATCGAGAATGGTGAGCCAATCTACCTCTTCTACGCGCCATTGTTCCTCCAAGGAGCTTAAGGAACTCCCAGCAAAAGCCTAAGAGCCGACTCCACTGAACGCAAAGTCACCAACCCCTCGTGTTGAGACTCTACCACCTAGCTGTACTACACCGATGTCAGAGCTTCTCACGTGTGAATCGCATGGCACCGTCAATACTCCAGGAGCAAAGCAACATAAAATACGGAGAGAGATGACCACAAAAATGAAGCAAATGAAAAAGAAGAAGCTAAGGGACAGAGGGGAAGCCTTCAGCGCCGGTACGCACGCGCACGCGCCACCGGACATCAGGGGTAAGGCTCAGATCTGATGGGATTGGTTGGTCGCTAGGAGGAAAGAGGGGAGAAGATAAGGGAGAGAGGAGGAAAGAGGGGAGAGAAAAGGCATGTTCTTTTAGTACTATTTGTTCCAACTAACTATTATTCACAGGGACTTTGATTTGTGGTTGAGCAAATGCAGACTAGTCTTGCGGGTGCGGATACATGTTAAGTGTATTTTATCTGCAAAAAATCATATAAAGACGGATGTGGAACACATTTATGTTTTGTTAGTGGTAAACTGATTATTTTAAAACATTAATTTATTATATTATTATGAATTATGAAAATATTATAAAATGATTCCAACTAATAAACTTATATATATATATATATATATATTGATGTAAAAATATGTAAACATTTTATTGATATACTAGATTAGTTCAATCATGATGGATAAACATGTTTTACTGTTCAGAAAAACTAATCTTTATATATTTTTTTTTATTTGTCGACGCCCATCTTTCAAGATCAAGTGGTAGACGGTCTTGAGACGTTCCGAAGAGACGTTCTGTCCGGCTGAGTCTGATCTATATGGGAAAAAAGAACACCGCTAATTCTCGCTTCCTTAGCAAGAGAATCTGCACGCAAGTTCCTAGTCCTGGGTATGTGGGCAATGCTGAACTCTGAGAATCCAACTCATAGAAGCCGGAATGAGACTAGCTCGGAGGAGAAAGCTGGCCAATCGGTAGGGTGAGCAATCATGTCCACCAGATCGGAGCAGTCCGATTCCATATGAATCGTAGTGCAGTGTAGCTCTCGTAAACAAAACATCGCCCATATAAGACCTTCCATCTCTGCATGGAGGGGTGATAGGCTTTGTCGCCATCCTTGTAGTCCAAATCGTTCGACTCCCATTTGGTCCTTGTAGAACCACCCTAGGCCACTGACCGTGCCATTATCGATCCATGACGCATCGATCTGACAGGTCGGACATTGGGGGTCCACAGGGAGAATTGAGCTAGCCAACATGGCAGGTAGAGCCTCCTCTTCCTCTTCGTCCTCAGGTAAGTTTGCCTTTCTCCAACACTCGGCTTCAAGGGAAGCTAGTTGTAGGGTGTCTACTGGTGATACAACCTTTCCATTGAAAAGTTTATCATTGCGTGCCTTCCAAATGTACCATAGGATCCATGGGAAGGTCTCAATAAGTGGTTCCATATAGGCCACGTTTTTCTTCGTCCAAAACAGGAAGTTCATGTTTTGGTATATAGAGGTACTCGGGAAGTAACCCGGAGGGGACGGATAGTCCGATAAAGCCCACACATGAAGGGCGGGGGGGCATTCAAAAAGAAGATGGTTAATGGTTTCCTCAGGGTCACCGCATCTAGGACAGCTCCTATCGGTACCCAAGTGTCGATAGGCAAGTCTCTCGGTTGTCGCAATACATCCTGTTAGAGCTTGCCACATAAAGTGTCTCATCTTTCCAGGGGCATGGATACTCCACACATGGCTCTGTAAACCAGTGATACTTGGTTGTACAATCTGGACATCATTATTCCGCACTTTAATCTCTTGTAATCGTTTATATCCTGATTTTACTGAGTAAACTCCTGACTTTGTATAGTTCCATGCGAACCCATCCATAGACCACGTGTTGCTTGGTCGTAGTTTGAGGATAAGCGGAATATCATCGGGGTGGAAATACTCTAGCAACAGGTTAGTATCCCAATCCCTTGTATCACGCCTAATGAAGGAGTGAACAAGGAGTTTTGGGTGTCTATAAGTAACTCGACCAGATGGTCTCGGGGGGCGAGCATCTATGTCTGGGATCCAAGGCTCCGTCCAAACACATGTGTTTTGACCTGCTCCAATAGTCTTTCGGAGACCCGATGTTAGGAGCGGTTTTGCTGCCATAATGCTACGTCAACCATAGGAGGGTGAGTAGACCTTGCGATCTTCCAAAGGGCATGATCGATTATAGTACCGTCCTCTCAAAACTCGGGCAAGAAGGTAGTTTGGGAACTGTATCAATCTCCAAAGTTGTTTTGCTAATAAAGCAATATTAAAGTCGTGTAAATCTAAGAAGCCGAGTCCAC